CTGAAACTGTTCCAAAAAATAGAAATGGAAGGAAAACTTCCAAACTCATTTTATGAGGCCAGCATCACCTTGATCTCAAAACCAGACAAGGATCCCACCAAAAAAGAGAATTACAGACCAATATCCTTGATGAACACAGATGCGAAAATTCTCACCAAAATACTAGCCAATAGGATCCAAAAGTACATTAAAAGGATTATTCACCACGACCAAGTGGGATTTATTCCAGGGCTGCAAGGTTGGTTCAACATCCGCAAATCAATCAATGTGATACAATACATTAATAAAAGAAAGAATAAGAACCATATGATACTCTCAATAGATGCTGAAAAAGCATTTGACAAAGTACAGCATCCCTTCCTGATCAAAACTCTTCAAAATGTACGGATAGAGGGCACATACCTCAATATTATCAAAGCCATCTATGAAAAACCCACCGCAAATATCATTCTCAATGGAGAAAAACTGAAAGCTTTTCCGCTAAGGTCAGGAACACGCATGGATGTCCGTTATCACCACTGCTGTTCAACATAGTACTAGAAGTCCTAGCCTCTGCAATCAGACAACAAAAAGCAATTAAAGGCATCCAAATTGGCAAAGAAGAAGTCAAACTATCACTCTTTGCAGATGATATGATACTATATATGGAAAACCCAAAAGACTCCACTCTAAAACTGCTAGAACTTGTACAGGAATTCAGTAAAGTGTCAGGATATAAAGTCAGTGCACAGAAATCAGTTACATTTCTTTACACTAACAACAAGACAGAAGAAAGAGAAATTAAGGAGTCAATCCCATTTACAACTGCATCCAAAACCATAAGATACCTAGGAATAAACGTAACCAAAGAGGCAAAGAATCTATACTCAGAAAAGTATAAAGTACTCATGAAAGAAATTGAGGAAGACACAAAGAAATGGAAAAATGTTCCATGCTCCTGGATTGGAAGAACAAATATTGTGAAAATGTCTATGCTACCTAAAGCAATCTACACATTTAATGCAACCCCTACCAAAATCCCATCCATTTTTTTCAAAGAAATGGAACAAACAATCCTAAAATTTATATGGAACCAGAAAAGACCTCGAATAGCCAAAGGAATATTGAAAAAGAAAGCCAAAGTTGGTGGCATAACAATTCCGGACTTCAAGCTCTATTACAAAGCTGTCATCATCAAGACAGTATGGTACTAGCACAAAACAGACACATAGATCAATGGAACAGAATAGAGAGCCCAGAAATAGACCCTCAACTCTATGGTCAACTAATCTTTGACAAAGCAGGAAGGAATGTCCAATGGAAAAAAGACAGTCTCTTCAACAAATGGTGCTGGGAAAATTGGACGGCCACATGCAGAAAAATGAAATTGGACCATTTTCTTACACCACACACGAAAATAGACTCAAAATGGATGAAGGACCTCAATGTGAGAAAGGAATCCATCAAAATCCTTGAGGAGAACACAGGCAGCAACCTCTTTGACCTCAACCGCAGCAACTTCTTCCTAGGAACATCACCAAAGACAACAGAAGCAAGGGCAAAAATGAACTATTGGGATTTCATCAAAATCAAAAGCTTTTGCACAGCAAAGGAAACAGTTAACAAAACCAAAAGACAACTGACAGAATGGGAGAAGATATTTGCAAACGACATATCAGATAAAGGGCTAGTATCCAAAATCTATAAAGAGCTTATCAAACTCAACACCCAAAGAACAAATAATCCAATCAAGAAATGGGCAGAGGACATGAACAGACATTTCTGCAAAGAAGACATCCAGATGGCCAACAAACACATGAAAAAATGCTCCACATCACTCAGCAGCAGGGAAATACAAATCAAAACCACAACGAGATACCACCTCATACCAGTCAGAGTGGCTGAAATTAACAAGTCAGAAAATGACAGATGCTGGCGAGGATGCAGAGAGAGGGGAACCCTCCTACACTATTGGTGGGAATGCAAGCTGGTGCAACCACTCTGGAAAACAGTGTGGAGGTTCCTCAAAAAACTGAAAATAGAGCTACCCTATGACCCAGCGATTGCACTGCTGGGTATATATCCTAAAGATACAAACATGGTACTCTGAAGGGGCATGTGCACCTGAATGTTTATAGCCGCAATGTCCACAATAGCCAGACTATGGAAAGAACCTAGATGTCCATCAACAGATGAATGGATAAAGAAGATGTGGTATATATACACAATGGTATACACAATGGAATACTATGCAGCCATCAAAAGAAATGAAATCTTGCCATTTGCGACAATGTGGATTAGAGGGTATTATGCTTAGTGAAATAAGTCAGTTGGAGAAAGACAACTATCATATGATCTCCCTGATATGAGGAAGTGGAGATGCAATGTGGGGGGGTTGGGGAGTAGGAAAAGAAAAAAATGAAAGAAGATGGGATTGGGAGGGAGACAAACCATAAAAGACTCAATCTCAAAAAACAAACTGAGGGTTGTTGGCGGGAGGGGGGACAGAAGAGGGTGGTGGGGATATGGACATTGGGGAGGGTATGTACTATGATGAGTGCTTGTGAAATGTGTAAACCTGGTGATTCACAGACCTGTACACCTGGGGATAAAAATACATTATATGCTTATTAAAAATTAATTAATTAATTAATTTTTAAAAATTATTAAAAATCAGAAAACTATAGACTAATATCTTTCACGAACATAGATGTAAAAATTGTTACAAAAATACTAGCAAATCAAATTCAATGATATGTAGAAAGGATAAAATATCACAACCATGTGGAGTTTATCACAGGAATGCAAGATTGGTTTAACATCCAAAAAACAATGATACTTATCATTTTATTAGAACAAAGAAGAAAACGATATGCTCATCTCAATCAATGCAGAAAAAGGAGAAAATTATATACCTATCTATGATAACAACTCTCAGCAAGCTAGAAATAGAAGGGAATTTCCTCAACCCAAATAAAAGCATTTATAAAAAAATTAGAGAAAAAAATTAGAACTAATATCATATGTAATGGTAAAAGTCTGAAAACTTTCTCTTAAGATCTAAAATAAAGCAAGGATGTCCAATTCTATTGAAAAGTAATACTAGAATCCATAGACAGCCTAACAAGGCAAGAAAAAGTAATAAAAAGGCACATGGACTGAAAAAATAGAAGTTAAAAAGTCTTTATTCACAGATAACATATTGCACAAAAAGAAAATACTATGAAATCTACACACAAAAGTTACTATAACAAATAAATGAAACAGGTAAGATTGAGGGATGCAAAGTCAATATAAAAAAGTCAGGGTCAAAGATGTATTGGTATACTCATGTTCATAGCATTATTCACAGTAGATAAAATGTGGAAGCAACTCAAATGTTCATCAACAGATGAATGAAAAGTCAAAATGTGGTTTATATGCACAATGGAATATTATACAGCCTTTAAAAAGAAGGAGATTGTGACATATGGTGTACCCATGGATGAACTTTGAGAATATTATGTTAAGTGAAATAAACCAGTCACAAAAATACCCAAATACTGTATGATTCTACTTACCTGATACTTAGAGTAGTTAAAATCATAGAGACAGAAAGTAGAATGGTGGTTGCCAAGGGCTAGGGGTACAGGAGAATAGAGATTATTGTTTCATGAGTATAGAGCTTCAGTTTTACAAAATGAAAAGAGCTGTGCAGATGGATGATGGTGATAGTTGGACAACATTATGAATGTATTTAATACCACTAAGCTGTATACTTAAAATGGTTAAGATGTTAAGTTTTGTTATGTGTATTTCACTATGATGAGATACCCCCTCACACTGGTCAGAATAGCTAAAATTAACAACTCTGGAAACAACAGGTGTTGGTGAGGATATGGAGAAAGGGGAACCCTCTTGAACTGTTGATGGGAATGCAAACTGTTGCAGCCACTCTGGAAAACAGTATGGAGTTTCCTCAAAAAGTTAAAAATAGAACTACCTTACGATCCAGCAATTATAGTACTATGTATTTAGCCAAAGGATACAAAAATGCAGATTCAATGGGTCCATGAACCCCGATGCTTATAGCAGCATTATCAACAATAGCCAAACTATGGAGAGAGCCCAGATATCCATTGACTGATGAATGGATAAAGAAGATGTGGTATGTATATATATGTACACACACACACACACACACACACACAGACACACACACACAGAGGAATATTACTTGAAATCTTGCCATTTACAATGACATGGTTGTAGCTAAGTGAAATGAGTCAGTCAGAGAAGGACAAATACCATATCTCACTCATATGTGAGAAATGGAGGGGGAGGGAAAGAGGGAAACAAGCCATAAGTGACTCTTAATAATAGAGAACAAACTGAAAGTTGATGGAAAGAGGGGTGTGGTGGATGGGCTAGATGGGCGATGGGTATTAAAGAGGGTGCTTGTGATGAACATTGGGTGTTGTATGTAAGTGATGAATCACTCAATTTGACTCCAGAAACCAATAATGTACTGTATGTTAACAAAGTAAAATTTAAATTAAAAAAAGAAAAAAATAATTTTAAAAAATGATAAAAAAAAGCAAAGTAAAAAAAAAAAAACCAACTAGCTACCAACACTTGGAAATAGAAATAAAGAATATAGTTTCATTTATAATAGCATCCAAAAACATGAATTACTTGGGGTAAGTTTAACAAATGTGCAGCTCCTGTACACTAAGAACTATAAAACTTTGCCAAGATAAGGAAGGAAGAGATCATACAAGGGAGACATACAAGGAAGAGAGCTGGTACTTGAACCATCGTCTGATGCTTATGTGCCTTACCACTCTGCATACTTCTTTCCTTCTGTGTTACCTCCATTTCACTCTCCACAAGCCATGTGGGTGTGTCTGGGGCCCAGGGGTAGGTGTCCTCTCAGAGACCTTTGGATTTCCAGAGGGTTTAGGCCAATCAGAGGACTCTCCTAGCCTACCCTGTGTTGGTCCTTCCTCAATGTCATCAGGTCCTAGTCTATTCTCACCTACCTGTGGGGCAGGGCTGGCAGCTGAGGACTCTGTCTATGAAGAAGTAGCCCAGAGGGCAGAAGACACAGGCAGCATGCTTCATACTTGGCTCCTGCCTGAACAGCTAACACTGAGAGACAACAGGGAAACACAAGGTGAGAGGGCAGATAGGTCCTTCCTAACATTTCTACCTGGAGGCTGCTGAGAATTGGGAATCTTGGCTCAGGTGCTTACTTTGCCAAGTGTCTTTGCAGATCTCCTCACCTTTCTTCCCTTCCAAATTCCTCTGTAAGGAAAATCACCACCAACACTGCCTCCATTTGTCATGGTGAGGTGGAATTAATTCTTGTGATCCATAGAGCTTCATGGTTAAGGGGGAGATTCTCACCCACTTCTTGTCTGAATCTTGGTGGATGCAGCTCCAGCACTAACATTGAGCTGTAGCTGTTGCTAGGGGCACAGCTCTGAAGGATGGCAAGCTCTGAGGGGACAGAGGTCTGCCTGATCCTTATCCTCTACCCAGTGTTGCACACAGTAGGTGCCTGGTGACGCCTACTAAGTGAATGACTGGGCCATGAGGTGGGGGCTTTGTGCATTTGCACCACGGCACCATAGTTTCTATCTTAACTGCATATCACATGGGAATAGTAACTCTGAACCTCCCCGAACTTCACAGATATCACCTCATTTGATCCCCACAGGAAGGGTAGATTCTCCTTGTTTCTGCATTGAACTGGTTGGGCAAGTTCCCGAGCACTGGGTCAGAAGTCAGCAGGGAGGGACGCCTGGGTGGCTCAGTGCGTTAAAGTCTCTGCCCTTGGCTCAGGTCATGATCCCAGGGTCCTGGGATTGAGCCCCACATTGGGCTCTCTGCTCAGCAGGGAGCCTGCTTCCCCCTCTCTCTCTCTGCCTCTCTGCCTACTTGTGATCTCTCTCTGTCAAATAAATAAATAAAAATCTTTAATAAAAAAAAAAAAAGAAGTCAGCAGGGAGTGTTGGTTGCTTCTCCAAGGGGAGCATCACCACTTTACTTTTTGCATACTTGCTCCAGACCCTGAGAAATTTAACTTCTTCTGGGGACTTCTTGATAACTGCCATGGCCCCTCCCACAGAAACAGTTGAAAAGGGGATGCTCTTCCCCAGGATCACCTGGCAGCCCTTGCTTTCTGTGACTCCTGGGGGTGCAACCCAGATTCCAGTGGGACATGGCTACTGAGCTGTCATGCCACTGAGGCAGCTACAAAAGTCAAAGGAAACTGAGTAACTGAGGAGAGGCCCTGAAGGCCTGGGATCCAGATCCATTCAGGTTATGTTACCATCTGAGTTAAGGAGGAGCTGAGTGGGAAGAGCATATCATGTGATGGCCAGCTCTAATTCCCAGGTGAGGACTTGCCAAGTAACAGGACAGGTGAGAAATATTGACTATCGAGAGCCCAGATCTGGCATCCACACTTCAGTTGGGCTGAGATTGAGGTCAAAAGTCCAGGGACAGTGTCCTGGGCATGCTCTGGGGGGTCAACCACCCCAGGCTCCTGGGCTAATGCCCCTGGGAGCTCATCACACCCAGGGCCACCATGGAAAAGACCTGTACAAGACCACTTTCTTCCAGAGAGCAGGCAGCCCCCACCTCCCCGAACCCTTTGCCCTGTTGCATTGCCCTTCCTGCCCTTTTCCTCATCTTTTCCTAGGGCACAAAGGTGTCTACTCCTTACTGAAAGCCCTTGGGGCACTGCAGGCAGCTCCCAGCCATGGAGTGCTGGCCTGGCAGGCAGGCGATGAGGCACAAGAAGTGGCCCTGGACCCCACCATGGAGGCAGAGGGCAGCTGCCCCTGTGAAGAGCGAAGGAGAGGAGCAATAGGCTTGGTGTGAGGACACTGCTCCCTTTTTGTCTCTAGAGAGACCCTCTGCTCTGGACCTTCTGCTGTGATGATGTTACTTCAGCAAAAGCCTGCAATAATTGATAAACTGTCATAAAAAATGGGTCTTCACTGAGGACATGGGGCACAATGACTGGTGCTGAGGATGATCATTCTTTTAGATATGGCCAGCCTAAGACATGGGAAGAGGAAAGCACAGATGTAACTGGACCACAGATTGGCGTAGAGCCTCCCAACTAAGGCCCCTGAAACCTGACACTGTGAGGAAGACTCATGACTTTGTTGTTACCCTCACCTTCTAGAATTCCAGGTGCTTGTGTGCCCTGCAACCAGCATCATAGAATAATAGAGCTGACATTTCATCTGGTCAACCCTCTCATTTTACATGTGGAAAGATGGGGACTCAGATCACATGACTGGCCAGAGCCACCCTGAGGTCTTGGTGGAACGAGTGGCATGAATCAGGGTATGATATGGCAAGGCTTCTGTCTGGACCTCCCTTGCAGTTCATAAGCCCTGATGTGTGGCCCTTCTTTGTGCTCTTATGGCCACACCCCACACCTGAAAACTGCTGCCCTGAAGAGCAAGGAAGAGCTGCCTGAGCTTTGCCTCAGGATTGTTCAGCAAATTCTTGTGGGAAACCTTAGGAAGCTCCAGGTTCTTGAAGGAAAGCCACAGGCTTTGGGGACAGACAGACCTGGCTCTGACCCCAGCTCTTCCACCCACTACCTGTTAGCAGCTTCTGTCCACCTCGATTTTATCATGTTATACTGAGACATGAAACCTACCTCAGAGAACTGTGAACAATAAATGAAAAGATTATGTATACATTTAATATATATGACATATATATTTGATATATGATTTATATATTAAATATCTATATATATATTTGTATATGCTATAAGATTATATAATATGTATATATATTGCACTTGATAAAGCCAACTACAAGTACTTGTTTCACATGAGGCCAGAGAGGCAGACATCTCACAAGGAAAAATTAATACCCACTAAGTATACAAAACTACTCAGGCTGCATGTAATTCCAGGGTTCAAGAGAAGGGACAGAGTCGGATGAGGGGACCAGAGAGGGGTGATCCCTGAGAACCTAGGGAGGAAAAGGCTGTGTGTAGAAGGCAAACTTACTTGGGTAAGGGAGAGAGCGAAAGCATGGAGATGGAGGGAGGGGATACACACACACGCGCGCGCGCACACACACACACACACACACACACGAGTGAAACCCAGAGGAGGAAGGCCAGGGTGTATGCCTTCCACCCTTCCTTTAAGGCACTGACCCAGCAATGATGAAGGCCGTGGGCTGGGTTCATACCTGGGCCTGACACTTACCTACAGTGTGCCCTTGGCCAAGTGGTTTACTCTCCCTGAACCCCAGAACCTCATCTGAAAAGTTAGTGTTAGTCATATATATACAGAGTTGACAAGACGTCTAACAGAGAATATAGGTAGAAGCCCAGGTCCCAACACATAGCATGAGTCCAGATGTCATGGGCATTATTTCACCGATCTTGCTATTGACTCACCTGCACTGAGGGTGCCTAGCAGAGGGGCCAGGGCCATCCAGAGCCCAGGCTGCAGCATGCTGGAGCAGTGACAGGGAAAGCCTGGGGCCAGAGAATGTGCTGGATCCTTGGCCTGTCCAGGCTGGAGCATGTGACCTACATTGTAACCTGGCCCTCTGCAGCTGCCTTGGACCAGACCCAGTACATCCCCCACCACAGTCCCCTGGGAAATGTGGCCTCTCTGAGAGCATCAGTGGAAGAACAGGATGTGTTCTTTGTTCAGCTCTCCTGTCCTTCCAGATGACAGCTGAGAAGAGCCAGACTGTCAAGCTCTGGTGCCCTTAGCAGCTGTGGGAACCTACAAATAACTTAGTCTTTTTCTGTCTATTTCCTCATCTTTAAAACTGAGGTAGCAGGAGTACATACCACCTGGGATTGTGGGAGAGCTAAAGGAGTTTCAGGCATCCTCAGAGCAATGCCTGCACACACATGCTCAGCATTATTCTTAATTCATGTTTTAATTTGCTGATCATTTATTGAGCACTCACAGTTTTTCTGGTAGCATACAAAGGGCAGAGGAGGGAAAATCCTGGCTCATGTCCTTAGGACTTAGCTTAAAGGCTATGAGATTAGCCCACAGGTAGCAATTCTAAACACAATCAACATAAACCAGTTAGTGCTCTGTGGTCCTAACATGGGCCAGATTTCATTTACTTTTCTCAGGAGCTCTGAGAGAGATGGAATCTTTATGTGTGCAGTGGGAACAGTGACTTGCTTGAGGTGGTCCACTGGGTGACAGAAGCTGGTCTGTGTGGGTCAAAGCCCATGCCAACTCAGTCCTCTTCCCAGGTAAAGTGTGTGGTTCCCATGTCCCCAGGGGACCATCTGGACATGGATGATAATGACCCTTTATTTACCCAGAACTAGTCCCTCCAAGGGGCTGGGACACCAGTGGCTGGGTGGTGGGGTTTTGCTCTTGGAGGATGCTTCTCAGGTCTAAAGTATTAGGAAGTCAGTGATGTTGGTAGGTGTGAGGTTCACAATAATTGCTAATTGTAAAAACCATCAGATTTTAGAGGGACTCAGAGCCCTCCATATCTTAGACATGCCCACCTCTCCCACCTCTGTTGTATGACTCTCCCTTATCCCTGTGCCCAGTTACAAGGCCATCTTTCTGTTCCTCACATACTTAAGGACCATTTCAGATTTCTGCCTAAATGTTACCTCCTCCCTGTCTATCTGATCACTCTCCTGTCCATTTTTTTTTTTAAGATTTTATGTATTTATTTATTTAGAGCACGAGTGGGAGGGACAGAGGAAGAGGGAGAGAGATAATCTCAAGAGATAATCTCATGCTCAGCATGGAGCCTGATGTGGGGCTTAATCTCATGACCCTGAGATCATGATCTGAACTGAAATCAAGAGTAGGATGCTTAACAACTGAGCCACTCCAGAGCCCCTCATACTGCCCTGTTTTAATTCTCTGACTTGCACTTAGTACCATTGGTATTTATCTTATTTTGTTGTTCACAGATTGTTGGTCTCTCTTTAGTGGACTCTAAGGCTATAAGAGCAGGGACTTGTTTGGTCTCCTCCTCTGTGGTCCCAGTGCCCAGCACAGTCCCTGACATGTGGTGGGTACTTTATAAGTCCATGAGAAGGGGTGAAGGAGTGAGAGATGCCCCCACTCAGCATCTCTGTTAACTACAGAAGTTTACTTTTCAATCTTAGACAGATGCCCAGCAAACAAAGTGGATCAGAGTGGAGCAGCTCTGGTTGACTAAGTGGTGGTGATGGGGATCCTGGGGCCTTTTTATCTCCAGCTTGCCCCACAGGCAGCCCCTGAGGCTCTCTGTACAAATTGAAGAGCACAAAGAGTACAGTTTAAGAACTACTAATCTGGTTCAACTTCCTCATTTTCTGGAGGACAAGGGCACAGAGAAATGAGAAAATGGGCCCAAGTTCACTCAGTGAGATGCAGGCATAGAAGAAAGCTGATGACCTGATCTTGACCTGAGGTTCTTTCTACTACCCTTAATCACAAACCCACATTCATCTTAAATGAACTATCTGGTCTGGGGCTACCTTTGGATCTGTTGTACCCATACCTGCCCCAGTTCTCAGGTAGAAGCTCTAATCCCAGTCTTCTTCAGGAATGTTCTCTAAAAGTCATCCTATGTGAATAATAAGGTTACAGGACCCCCCAGAAGGCCCAATCTCTGCCCGGGTGATCAGTGTGGCCCTGTCTGCTGTACTGTGCCAAGTTTACTTTTCCCAAAGGAACCTCAATGCATCCATTTTCTTCTACTTCGTGAAAAATTCCTGGGAGCTTGTGTAATCTTCTTTTATTAAAGAGAAGAATTGCTGCTTAAAAGTCAGCATAGTGCAAAGGAAACCAAGTCACATCCGCCAAGGTGTGAACACCTGGGGGGCATATGTGTGTGTGTGTGTGTGTCTGTGTGTGTGGGAGTCGGGGATAGCTCACCAAAGAGCAAGGCTCCAAGAGAACAAGAAAACCCAATCAGCTTTCCCATCAAATCCTCCAATCTGGGGAGCTTTCCAGGCTCCTGTTTCTGAAACTCAGACCTGGCCTTTCACTCAGACCTCTCTCAGATTCCAGAGAAGGGTAGCTGGGGCTGGGGCAGCCAGATAACTACATCTTCAAATTCCCTTTTAATTTTTCTTAGTTGCTGGCTTCATTTAAAGAAATCTTTCTGGCTCCCACTCCACAGATAAGGAGGAAAGTAGTGAAATTCTGGCAGGTTTTCTAGGATGGATGACTTTTTATTATGGTAACTGCTTTATTGACTCAAGAACTTCTGAACTTAGTGGACCTAGGAAGCAGCAGGCCAGCTTCTTTCTGTGCTCCTGATGGGTGGGCCCTGATGCCAGAGGGGGACAGCAAAGATAAGAGAAGGACCTTGACTGTTTCAGGTCACAGTGTCACGATGATGACGGTGATAATTACCTGATGGTAATGGTGATGGTGGTGGTGATGGTGGTGATGGTCATGGTTGTGGGAATGGTGATAAGGGTGACAGTGTGGTGGTTATGGTGACGGTGCTGATGATGGTGGTGATGGTGATGATGATGGTGGTGGTGGTGGTAATGGTGATGAGGGTGGCAATGTGGGGGTAATGGTGATGTGGTGATGGTGGTGATGATGATGATGATGCTAGTGATGGTGATGGTGGTGATGTGGCTACTAACCATTTCTTGGGGACTTGATATTTTTGCAGACATTGTATGAACACCATTTCATCTGCTCCATCAATATTTGTGAAGTATCTGTTATTAATAACTTCATTTAATAGATAAGGACAGTGAGGTTGTAACAGACTAAGTTATTTCCCCAAATTATTCTTCTATTAAGAGACCAAAATGTGGGGTGCCTCAGTCTTTTATTGTTTTTCTTTTGTCTACTCTTTAATGTGAAAGAAAATATCAACAAACATTCATATAGGAACTATATTCATTCATCAATTATAACCACAGTTTGGCTACAGAAACAAGAGTTGGTCAAAAACTAACAAAAGCTTTCTTTGAAAATCAATTGGCTATGTGGAATTTAGTACTGTATAGCTTATTATTTGTAAATTATGTGGCAGTAAAGTTTTATAATGAATATGTGTGTGTGTGTTGGAGAGCATTTTTTTTTTTTTTAACCAGCACACTACCCTATGAACCTCAAATAAGCTTCAGGCAAGGCCTGTATCTTTGCAATCAATGACAGATCAGCTGAGATAATTTCAAGGTGTTCTATGAAAAAAGGGTGGTGCTGAGCCAGCACATATAAGGTGCTGCCACCAAAATAAGTTAGCAGGTATGAACCATGTACTCAGATAAGCAAAAATTTGGCATATTTTACTTCATTAAATCACCCTAATTTTTGGTTCAGCCTCATTCCACTGGGCTGGTAAGATGTCCAACCTTAGGAGAGGGAAGAGTTAAGATGGTGGAGTAGTAGGAGGGTGCTGAGCTTGCCTCATGCCTCAAACACAGCTAGATAAATATCAAGTCATTTTGAATAACTAGGAAATCCATCTGAGGATTAAGAAAATAATCCGCACAATTGATGGAATAGAAAGTGGCAGATGTAACATTTGGGAATATAAAATGGAGAAGAGAAAAGGCAGGTGTGACAGAGGGGAGGGAGCCTTTTCTGCAGAGAGAAGTGAGAGAGAAAGCAGGAGAGAGAGCAATATGTAGGGTTCTTGCAAGCCACTGTGGTGTGAAGATCCCTTGGTTGTACTAGAAGAAAATAAATGTTCCCCTTCCTGGAGTATACTTGGAAGAGGGTGTATTTCCTCTCCAAAGAGAAAGGACCTGCCAGGTACCACTGAGTGACCATTCAATAGCAGGGGCAGATAACTTGGCTACAGCTTTTTGCTGTGCTTCATCATAGACTTCAGGTATCTCTGTGGCCATGTGACTGCTTTCTTGGGACAGAACAGTGTTGGGTGTAGTGTTGCAAGGCTCTCTTCCAGGGCTGGAGAGCAGGTCCATGCTTTGTTGGGTCCTTTAATATTTGGAATTTTGAATCACAGCCACTGACCAGAGATAAAACACAGGAGAACTGTGGCACTGGGCTGGCCCATGGTCCCCAGGCACAGACAGGTTGAGGGCAGGGATCTGATGAGGGCCTGGGACACAGGAGGGGACACAGGACCTCCCGTGAGGTCCCCCTGAACAGTGGCAGCTGCAAGTTCCCTTCCCTGGGAATGAGAGGGTGGGGTAAGGCCATTACCCACCACCATCCTCTCCAATCCACCATGAAGGTCAGACTTCAGAGGAAGACTCTACCTCCAGTGGAGACTGGAGTCACTTACAGCAAACCCTGATCCCCCTGCACCTGGCAGGGACTTCTTTACTAGGGCAAGTTTGACTGTGAGCCAGTGCAGCAGACTTCTCCCTAGAAAATGAACACGAGCCCCTTGCATGTACCAAGCCTATAGATCACAGAGTGCTCCAAAGTGTTAGCTTCAGTTTTGGTGGAAATAGGACCAGGCTTCCTTTTTAAAAAAATTATTATTATTATTTTTTACTTTTTAAATTAAATTAGTTGAAATTAATTTTTCTTTACAACAACACTTATAGTTTTTTGTTCATTTGTTGATTAATTTATTTCCTTTTATTGCTTTATGGATTAGGGTTTTCTCTCTCTCTCTCTTTTATTTTCTTTTTTCCTTCTTTCTTTCTAAGTTTTTGGAATCAGGCTTAGAGTTTTTTGTTTGTCTGTTTGTTGGCTTTTTTGTTCCTTTTCTGTTTCTCTTTTCTTGGATCAGGTTTTTTTAAATTATTATTTTTAATCAGGCTTATCTTAACAAACAAATCAAACCACACTGGTTAAAAGTTAAACACTCCCCACCTCAAGCAAGGAGGAACTCTGCAGAGGTCTGTCTTGTGGGAAAGAGCAGCCAAAACACAAGAGCATAGTAATACACAGCACACACCAAAAATACTTCCTGAAGACCAGACTCTGAACAGTGTATGACCCCCTTCAGAAAATAGTATTAATCTCAGGAGCAGGAAATATAACAAACTTTCATAATATACAAAAGACAGCAATCTAGACATAATGATAAGATGGAGGAATTCTCCCCAAAAGAAATATCAAGAACAAATCACATCCAGGGATTTCCCAAAACAGGTATAAGGAATATATCTGAACAAGAATTTAGAACAACAGTCTTGGGCTTGAAAGAAACATAGAAGACACCAGAGAAACCCTTGCTGCAGAGATGAAAGACCTAAAAACTAATCGGGCTGAAATTAAAAAAATAGTATAACTGACATGGAAAATGTCAGATATAATGACCAGATGTAATCACAATGAGAATGGAAGAAGCAGAGGAACAAATAGGTGATAGAGAAGATAACATTATGGAAAATAATGAAACTGAAAAGAAGAGGGAAACAAAACTATTAGATCAGGAACATATAGCCTTAGGAAACTCAGCAATTCCACAAAGAGCAATAATATCCATATCACAGTTGTCCCAGAAGGAAAGCAGGAAAAAGGAGCAGATTATTTATTTGAACAAATTATAGCTGAGAACTTCCCTAATCTGGGCAAGGAAACAAGCATTGAAGTCCAAGAGTCACAGAGAACTCCCCTCAAAATCAGCAAAAACAGATCAACACCAAGGCATATCATAGTGAAACTTGCAAAATACAAAGATAAAGAGAATTCTGAAAGCAGCTAGGGACAAAGGTCCTTAACCTATGAGGGTAGACAAGGCAAGCAGCAGATCTCTCCACAGAAACTTGGCAGGCCAGAAGAAAGTTGGCAGGATATATTCAACATGCTAAATGGGAAAATATGAAGCCAGCAAGGATGTCTTTCAGAATAGAAGGAGACATAAAGAGTTTCCAAGACAAGAAAAACTGAAGGAATTAATGACCACTAAACCATTCCTGCAAGAAATATTAAAGGGAACACTTTGAGGGGAAAGAAAGACCAAAGCAAACATTGACTAGAAAGGAACAGAAGCAATGACTTTACAGGTAATAAAATGGCACTAAATTAATATCTATCAATACTGACTCTGAATGTAAATAGACTAAATGTTCCAATCAAAAAACATAGGGTATCAGAAGAGATTAAAAAAAAGACTCATTAGGACGCCTGGGTGGCTCAGTCAGTTAAGCAGCTGCCTTCAGCTCCTGGGATCGAGTCCCGCTTTGGGCTCCTTGCTCAGCGGGGAGTCTGCTTCTCTCTCTCCTTCTGTCTGCCACTCTGCCTGCTTGTGCACTCTCTCTCTCTCTCTCTCTCTCTGTCAAATAAATAAATAAAATCTTAAAAAAAAAAAGACTCATCAATGTAGTGTTTACAAGTGACTCATTTTAGTCCCAAAGATACCTCCAGATTGAAAATGAGGGGGTGAAGAACAATCTGTTGTGCTAATGGATATCGAAAGAAGGGTGAAGTAGCCATCCTTATATCAGACAAACAGCAATTTAAACCAAAGACTGTAATAAGAGATGAAGGACATTATATCATAATAAAAGGGTCTATCCAACAAGAAGACCTAACAATTGTAAATATTTATGCCCCTAACTTGGGAGCAGCCAGATATATAAAACAATTATAACAAACTTAAAGAAACTCATTAATAATAATACAATAATAGTAGAGGACATTAACACCCCATTCGCAGCAATGAACAAATCATCTAAGCAGATCAACAAGGAAACAAGGGCTTTGAAAGATACACTGGACCAGAGAGACTTAACAGATATATTCAGAACATTTCATCCTAAAGCAGCAGAATACACATTCTTTTAGAGTGTACATGGAACATTCTCCAGAATAGATCACATACTGCATCACAAATCAGTCCTCAACAAATACAGAAAAATTGAGATCTTACCATGCATATTTTCAGACAACAATACTATGAAACTTGAAGTCAAACACAAGAAAAAATTTGGAAAGACCACAAGTACATTGAGGCTAAAGAGCATCCTACTAAAGAATGAATGCATTAACCAGGAAGTTAAAGAAGAAATTAAAAAGTACATGGAAGAAAATGAATATGAAAACATGACAGTCCAAAACCTTTGGGATGCAGAAAGGCAGTCATAAGAGGAAAGTATATAGCAAGACAGGAATTACTCAAGAAACAAAAAAAGTCTCAAATATACAACCTAACCTTACACCAAAAGGAGCTGGAGAAAGAACAGCATATAAAACTTTAAACCAGCAGAAGAAAGGAAATAGTTAAGATCGTAAGAGAAATAAATGATTAAAAACAACAACAACAACAGTAGAACAGATGAATTAAACTAGGAGCTGGTTCTTTGAAAGAATTGAAAAAATCAATAAACCCCTAGCCAGACTTACAAAATGAAAAGGGAAAGGACCCAAATAAATAAAATCACAGTGAAAGAAAACAGATCCCAACAAACACCACAGAAATACAAACAATTATAAGAACATATTACGAACAATTATATACCAATAAATTGGGCAATCTGGAAGAAATGGATAAATTCCTAGAAACATATAA